ATAATAGTGACAACACAAAGTGGTGGACAAGGGACCTCAACGGTACAATTTCGAGGTTATCATGAGACTATAGGTCCAATGAAAGAATCAGCAGTATGGGTGGAAGAAGCACCTATGCAGAATTTAGGCTGGGGTAGAAGGGCATTGTCACCTACAAACTATCAACAGGAAGATCCTTTGGGACTTAGTGTAGAAGGCAACGAGTAAATCTTTAAATTCTATGATCATGATAAACTGTATCAATAATATGTATATGTTTTTTGCATAATTAATTATATTTCGTTTTAAAGCAAAAAGTTTCCTGAGGATGAGCTGATTGAACTTTTTGGAGATGGAAGTGGAGATCTTACAAATGAAAAATTTCATCCAGGATGGTTTTTACTTCAACATCATCATGCTACCACTTTGGAAGATTTAAAGGCTGGTTTAGCTTATCTTAGAAGAAAAGTTCATTCACAAAAAGAAGGACAATTATCATTCTTAAAGGTAAATAAATATTTTATTTAATTTCAATAATGGATCTAAACATACTGGATTTTTATACTGGACTATACATTTTTTATTACATTTCTGTTAAGGTAACAATATATACAATTTACTTCTTCATAATTAAGTTTTTTAATTATATACTTTTTGTCAATAGATTTATATAACTCATGCGAAACTAATCACAAAGGAAGATCCATTTCAATTATACACATTTAATTTTATATTTGTGACTCGTTAATTTTATTATAATTATACACATGTAATTTTATTATTGTTGACTCGTTAATTCTATTATACACACTTAATTTTCAATTTTAACATTGAAAATGACCCGATCGGTGTCGAAACGTATATGTGCGAATTCTTACTTGCGAATTTTACTCTGTTTGTTTAATGTATTGCGATTTTGAGTTAATTACATTTATATATCTTTTTTAAAAAATTATTGGCTCTTTTCTCTTATTTTTAATCAATTTGTTAAATAAATATCATTAGTTGACATTTAAAGAGTATTTTTTATGTATAGAGAATTATGTTATATTATTTTAAAATTAAAAATTTATTCTCTCAATTATAAAACAGGCCAATGTAGGAGCAGTAATGGAACAACTTGACACGATAATGTCGTTAAAGGATCAATTTGAAGCAGACATGAAGAGTTACGGTAGTGATCCTACAGAGAAATTGGAAACTGCTATTAGGCAGTCAATGTCAGAGGCTAATAAATTATTCAATGATGTATTAGCGAGGAGGGACAGAGCTGATGCCACTCGAAACGCATTGGCCGTTATGCAACGTTACAAATTTCTCTTTTGTATGCCAATAAACATTGAGAGGAACATAAAGCGTGGCAATTATGATCTTGTTATTAATGATTATGCTAGAGTTAAGAATCTATTTAAAAATACAGAGATAGATGTATTTAAAAAGATATTGGAGGAAATCGACAGTAGAATTAATAACTTTAAAGTGTTGTTACGGACAAAATTACAAGAGATGCCATTCAGTTTAGAAGAGCGTAAGAAGATTATTAGAAATCTCGTCAATCTTGATGCCGAAGGTGATCCGGCATGGGATGCAATAGGTGTGTGTTCATTTATTGTTACTTTTATGTTCAAAATGAAACAAGTTCAAGCAAGTCACATTTATTTACACTTATTAAAATTATGTGACATTTAATTACTTTAAAGTAGTCAATTTCAAATTTTCTATTTCAGTTTCACATGCAAATTATTTAGAGAAAAGCATTAGCAATACAATACATGAGTATTCGGACGGTGATATTAAAATTAATTGTGAAGACGCAAACAAAATATCCAAATCCACGCCGATAAATATCAAGCATTTACGTTCGCAGAAGAATAATGGAGATAGCTCACCGCGGCAAATTTTATGTGTCGAAGCAATTTGCGACATTGTGGTCGAACAGTTGCCAGATCTATGGAGATTGGGACAGAGTTATTTCACGGGACAGCTACATGTGACAGTAGACGTAGAAAAGCAAAGTCATTTTAAGGTATGTATTTACATATCTTAGGCCTAATTGCACACCAACAACATTACTTTGTTTTTAAGCGAGACTTAAAACTGTTTCTTTCTTTAAACTCAAGAGAGAAAAAGAGAAAGTTCTAAGCCTTGCTTAATGTCAAAGTAACGTTGGTGGTATATAATTAGGCTTTAAACATATATATTTTTACTGTGTTAATAAAATAAAAACGTACATACATGAACAATGTTTTATTTCGATTTCTATCTTGTAAGTATCGATTTATTTAAGATATACATATATTTTTATAAAAATTAGATTATATATGGGTCATTCCATGTCAACTCGACCACTCCCCTGCCTAAAACTGTACGCAACTAAATGTAACTTATAGGGTACCAAAATTTAGGTTGAAGCTTTTAGTTTTCGATGCCATGTGGCGTGTAAGTCAGTAAATTGTATAAATCCACTGTAGGAAATCATCATAAAAATAGCACGGCGTGCGCACGGCATGATATCCGCGATGAGGATAATATGAGTTCGCACGCTTTTTCTTAATATTATTGGTTACTTTTAATTACAGATTTTGATTCTGCATACAAAATTACAATAAAAATGGCTATTATACCTTATTTTCAAGAAATAATGGAGATTGAAATAATGAAAACCATTTCTTTTCTATTCAACGAATAAAATCAAGATCATTACTTGATGTTTTTCAAAATCGCCACATGGCATCGAAAACTAGAAGCTTCAACCTAAATTTTGGTACCCTATAGATTACATTCAGTTGCGTGCAGTTTTAGGCAGGGGGGTGGCCGAGTTAACGTGGAATGACCTATATATAATATATATTTATTCATAATAGAGTTTAGTTTTATCGAATATGCAATATGCCATGGGTACTATGAAGAATATGTGCAGTCACGATGTAGAGGCAAGGTGGCTTTTACATATCTTACGTTGTGTTAGACAAATGTATGCGTCTTTGATACACCTGGATTTGCCTAGCGAAGCTCTTGATATTTTCGGTTCGTTTATATTGGATTTGAGGTACCCTTAAAATATAATTAGTCTCATTCAATTAAATTACCTATATCTATATATCAATTTAATTTTTTTGCATATTATAGGATACATTGTTTGCGTGCTCTCTTCAAACAAGGAGCATATAATATAAAAGCTCTAAGGAAAAGAGAAACGTGGCAGATAGAATACTTGAACGAGGACGGTGGAATTACAAGATTGGTATAATATAAAAACACTTGAAACTTTAATGAAAAACTGCTTTTATTATGTATTTATTTTTCTTAATTATGCATGTTGTTTTACACCAACAGCCAAATTTATTTGAGGAAATAGTTTTGGCGATATTGAGACATGCGCGAGAAACGGTAATTGTTTGTGGTCCAAGAGAAGGACCGCTATTCAATAATTCAGCACATCAGATTATCTATCGCAAAGTCATTAGGAAATTATTCACATCATTCTCTAAGTGCCTACACAAATTGTTGTTTCGCGAGGAAGCTATGAATAATAATGATATTGATGATGATGACGGTGACGATAACGATGATGACGATGACGATGATGACGACGACGATGACGACGACGACGACCACAACAACGACGATGACGATGACGATGACGACGACGATGATAATGATGATAATGATGATGATGATGATGATGATGATGAAACGTCGGTTTCGCAATTAATTGGATCGCCTTCTGGTTATAAAAACAAAACCAATAAAAACAATAAGCATCAAAGACCAGTAAGCAATAAAGTCGATTTAATGCTTACAGCATAATAATCCTTTTGCTTTCACATACTATAAAATATCTATAAATTGCTTATTAGACGCGGGAACAGTGTCTCTTAATCTCATTAAGTAACATACGATACACGTTAAATATCGTTTTACCACGAATTGGAGATTATCTGAAAGAGCAAGGCTATCCAGAATTATCCACCGCTGTCAGATGGAACTCTGATTGGACAAAATTAGAGATGCTGGACAATAAGGTTCTGTGCGCATATGTAGATCGCCGTGGTGATCCACTCGTCGGTACAATAGAGCCTAGTATGTATTTAGGTGGTTTAGAATGGGTCTTTGATACGGAACCGACTCATTTGAAACCGTATGCCCAAGAAATATTGACGAATCTAATTGCGGTACACGCAGAGGTAATAGATGATCATGGTGTGGAAAATTCGGGATAACATTTATCATTTATTATATCTTTTTTCAGGTACGCAGAGTTGCACCAGCTCTATTACAACGAATTTTGTCTAATATAACGGAGACTATAGCAGAGGAACTCGCGCGACTCATGTCGTGTGTTAGGCAATTTCGTCCGGCTGGCATTATTCAAGCTCGAACGGATATTATACTCTTGAGAAACGCCCTGCAAACCTACAGTACAAGTAGAGCAAGGTAAAAATTAGATATCGAAAATAGAGTACTACCTTGTGAAAATTGTATGTTAAAATTAATGTTGGAATTTCTAAGTTGATCATTCCTTTTCTCTCTTTTGTAAGCAGGAGTCTTTTCGAGGAAGCTCTGGACGCGATACCTCAGCCCATGAATAAGGAAGATCACATGAGAATAGAAGCTCTTTTGTCAAAAGTCGCAAGTTGTATGCGACTACAACTATCGTGTCTTACCAACGAGGTAACGGAAAATATTCGTTATTTAACGGCGGATCCTGAACGCGTTACCACTGTGTAATTTATAACGATCAAAATACGTGATAATTACGGGGGAACGTTGTAATTATTAAATTATTAAAAGTTCCATTGTATTTACGTATGCATATATTGGATATGGTACATTATACAATGGAATCCGCGAATCCTTGTGACTTGTGTATTTGACCGCGGCAATTGTAATAAAGTAGACTTTAATTCATTATGTAATTCGTTTTATTTTCTGATTCTTATACATTTTTGTGGAAATTGATCTGTTTCAAAAAATATTTGTCATACATTACAAATAACATCCACATAAAATCAAATTAATTAGGCTCTTTTAATTAGTTGTAACATTCCAACTTCTCCAGCTAATAATACGGTGTCATCTGAAATAAAAAAACGTATATAAAAATAATTAGCGTTAATAAAAAGAAAATATTAATCTGAAATAAATCGTTTTTATGTAACGTGATGTAGAAACTTTACTTGTTTGAAAAACTTGAGTTGCGCCTTTTGCACCAACGATGCAAGGAAGACCGAACTCTCTTGCTACAACAGCGCCATGACTTATTAGACCGCCCAATTCTGTTACAATTCCTGCTAATAACGGAAAATATGGACTCCAACCGATATCAGTGCAGTGTGTAATCAAAATATCTCCAGGCTGTATAATTTTTGCTTCGGATAAATTGGTTATCACACATGCTCTGCCTGATACAGAACCGCCGTAAACTGAAGTACCCTCAATTTGTGTACATCCTTCGTAGGACGAAACGTCGAGAGTCGGCTGTGAGATAAAAAGTATATATACAGTATAAATCTCAGGGTACTATAGAAATTCTACATATATTGAAAAATATAATAGGGGAAAAATTAATACAAATGATTTGATTTGATTTGACAAACCTCTATTGGTATGGGCATGCCAGTATTGAATTCTGGATATTCAAATTTTGCTACTTTTTGATAAATCTTTCTTCTACGTAGCGCTCTGAAAGAAATTTCGAAGATAGACATAGTAAATATGATCTGGAGACACAGTAGTGTCTCGGCGTTAAGCCAGGCGCACCGACACTGCCGTGGCTACTTTACGCGAGCCGGCGAGTTGCAGCAGATTAAGATTACGTGCCCTACGATAATATACACGCGCGCGCGATTAAGATTGCTTTCCACTTAACGCTCGCAACACTCACAAACATCGGTTTTTCTTGTTTAACATTTTTTAATAAACAAGGATGAAATAATTTCACAAGCGTTGTGAGCGTTAAATGGAACGCAGCCAAGGAATGATACACTGAATAATATATGTATAATAAAAAATAGTGTTCAATTAAACTTACTTGCGTACGAGTGATGGATTGTGATTATTCAATAATTGTCCGATTTCTTGATGCGTCAGGAAAAATATGAGCTGTTCATCGGGTATGTAACCTTCCGTAACCATTAAGACACCAAGTCGTCTATAAGCTAATCTCAATTTATGCATAGCAGATGTAGTTATGTTTTTTGTCATTTCTCTAAACGTGACAGCTTTCCGACAAAGGGGTATTACCATTCGCAGGAAACGCTTGATAATCGATGACGTGGGTGTTTTCAAAGATGTTATGGTTTCTTGCACGCTAAGCGTTTTACTCACGCGATTCTTTTCAACGGATGTTGCGAGTACCTAATAGCAGAATAATAAGAAACATACTTACGCGTACATATATACACACATGACATGCATACATGCGCGCGTATATGTGCGTGTGTAGGGGGGGGGTGCGAGCGTTTGTGTTGTAAATATTTTAAATTCTCTTTATAAATAATTTGAATTATCATACCTGAATCGTATTGATAATATAATCAGGTTTAAGTATCCAAGGTTCCGTAAAGAGATCTATTTCGTGAACACATCTGTGACCGTGTATTTCGAAAAAAGTTTGTAATTTTTCCGCAGCTGGAGGGCAATTTAACTCTAACCAGGTCATGACTTTCGCAGTTTCGAGCTTACTAAATTCATCCGCTTTGCCATTTCTTCTTATGCACGCCGCTATTTTGTCGAGAGCTATCGGCACTTCGGTACTGATAACATTGGTGCACGAACTCAACAGAACAGCAATATCCGCAATATGCTCAGACGTAAAGTTATCGCTTCCATTTGTTAAAAGCGACATCGCTATCATCTGGTAAGATACGCTCACTTGGGACGCCAGGTTATGACCTTTTCCTATCTAAAAATTTTAATGACGGACGTTAATTAGGGCATAATTCTTTGAAAGTAACATCTTAAAAAATTCTTTTAAGGTTGAATTTAATAAATTAAAGATGTTCATTTTTGAATGTTTATTAGGGTGGCCCAAAAAAAATTTTTACGCGGCCGCCCCCCAAAATTGTAAAAGATGCAAAAAAAAGAGACCCGTATTTTTTCTTTTTTTAATCGGCTAATATTTGATGGTGCCGCCGAGTCTCTGAAGTTTCCCATGTATTCTATATGGGAAAAAAACACATTTTCGTAGATTCGATAAAAAATCGTTAAAAATGTCTGGTTTTTTAATCTACAAACGATATTTCTCTTGAGAAATGATCAAAATATGAGATTCTGGCAATTATTTATTAGAAAAAATTATGTTAACTATGTTTTACAGTGCCGCAGAGAACAAAACGCATGCAAAAATCGCACTTTTATGTTTAAAAGTATTTCTAGTAATTTTCTCGCTGATTCTCGCACATAGATTTTTCTTTTTTTACCGACAAATGAATTGTTACTAATGATTTCTTGTATTTTATAATTGTTTAAACAAATTATTGTTGTTACATTTATTTATTCTTTCATAACTGAGCTATAAATTCGCAGTTTTTTTCTGAATTTATTTTAAACTTGTTACTCAGGAGTTTTCAAGGTCGCTGATTTCGAATCCGATATCAGTTTTCCAAAATTCAAAATGGCAGATTGAATATGGCGGAAGAATTTTTCAAAAACTGCTCAGATTCATTTGAAACTTGTTTCGGAGAGGTTTTTCTGGGTCACTGATTACGAATCTGATGTCAGTTTCTAAAATTTTTCCAATAACGGATCCAATACAGTGTAAATTTTATAAAATATTATATTTAGTTAAATATTAATAGAATAAAATATTTAAAAAAAAAGTTATTCATAATATGTTCCTGACTTTCCGTTCATTTGAACGAAATTTTTTCTCATTTATCATAAATTACTCTTATTATAAAAAAAAACAAAGCAGATATTAATTCTCATCAATTAATTAATCTATTGTTCGATAGAAGGCAATATTCAAGAACAATATTAAATTTTAAAGAAACATCAAAATATTATTTTCGTTTAAATGGAATTTCAGGAAACTGTAAAACATAGTTAACGTAATTTTTTAAATAAATATTTGTTAGGATCTCATATTTTCAACATTTCTCAAGAGAAATATTGTTTGCACATAAAAAAAACAGACATTTCTAACGATTTTTTAAATCAAATCTACGAAAATGTGTTTTTTTTCCCATATAGAATACATGGGAAACTTCAGAGGCTCGGCAGCACCATTAAATATCAACCGATTAAAAAAAGAAAAAATACGGGTCTCTTTTTTTTACATCTTTTTCAATTCTGGGGGGGGCGGCAGCATGAAAATTCTAAAAAATTTATTTTCCTGTGTATTTTTGGGCCACCCTAATGTTTATTCAGTGCGTCGTTAACTCACCAGGAAGATTTCTCCATATTTCTCAGTTAAGGTATTGTACAAATCATGAGGTGTATCAAATTCGTCAGCGTCCAAAGTGTACTTGTTAAATATGTCGATTGTTTCTTTCACTATCGCGTCATTTCTCCATGCTGTTATAAACATCTCATACATCATATACATTTCTTGCCATTTGCTTACAATACCGTATTTCTCTATTGCTGCCTTGTGCACTTCAGGTGTCGTTACTACACGTCCGCATATGGCTACATCTATCATTTTGTTCGTCATTGTCATTTCCTTACTAACATTTTGTAAAGTTGACTAAAAAAGAAAAGACAGAAAAGGAGATAACTTATTAATCGAAGATTATTTTAGAGAGATTGAATTGATTATGTTAGAAAATTTTTCTATGTTGTAAATGTGACAGATGCAAAAATCCAAGCACTTACATCTAAGTAATTCATCAAGCATCTCATATTGTTCATATGAAGATAATAACAGTCAAAGTTGTTGAATTTTGCGCAAAGCGATAGATTCAAGACTTTCATAATTGTGGAGATCGACAAAGGACTTATGGGATATGGAAGCACTTCCCCGACATTGGCAAAGGTCATAAGATCGACGTCGCAAGGTACTCCCGAGTCTAACTCGTGCATTATTTCGAAATCTGTCCATGCTTTAATGGTTGTGATAGGCCGTGCTTGTAACATATATATCTGTTCGCCGACAATTGCCCATTCCACATCTCGAGCGGACCCAAAAAGTGATTCTAAATGTAATCCTATTTTAGCTAAACGCAGAGCGGATGTATCGGATATCGAGATCTTATTGATCTCTTGTTCACTCAGATCGCTCATAATTACGCCATCATCATCATCAAGTAAGATCTTATGCTTCTTACTTCCTGGTTCAGAACTATCTATAGTTAGAGTGTTATCCCACTTTCTGTGAATCGTTAAGGTATCAGGCTCGATCATCCCTGACACTACCGTCTATAAAAAAAAGTTACATTAGGACGATTTATGTTATTTTTATTATGATATAACAAGTATCATAAATTGATGCAATGATTATTATAAATATTAAATATCATTCAATTTTATAAGTGCGTATTAACACATTCAAATATTTTTAGAACAATATTTCTAATATTAATTGGTCATGACCTCTCCTAAGCCATAATTAGCTGTAATAACAATGCTGGACGGATCTCCAGTTGTGGGATGTCTAGTAAACATGACACCAGCCGCTTCTGCATCGACCATTCTTTGAACACAAACACCCATAGATGCTCTTATCGGTAATCCGTTTTGCCGCCTGCAATAGGTCCAAAGAAATATCATGTACGAATATTGGAGACAATGAAATGTTAATATGATAATATTGTAGAGAAGAGTAAATTACCTATACTCGACGCTTCGATACGAGAATAAGCTTGCCCAGCATTTAGCAACGCATTCAATAACGTCACTTGCATCCTTCACGCCTAAATATGTCGAGTTTTGACCAGCAGCTGAAGTCTCCTCACTGTCTTCTCCAATTGCGCTGGATCTTACGGCATAACGCCCAATACCTTTTTCATTTACAGACGATTCTAATTCCTCCAAACTCCGTAATATCATTTTTGCAATTTCTTTTTCAACAGGAGTACCCTGAATAATGGACACCGCTCTGAAAAATAGAGAACAGGCATAATTATATTTTATGTTACATACATTTTATGCGATATGTTAGACGTACTTTTGACAGTAACTTTCAAGGTCCTCTTCTTTTTTGCAACTAATATTTACTATATCATCGATTAAGTTTTGCAATTGTTTATGATGTTGCAATTGTCGTTCCAAAGCGAGACTCGTTATACAAAAGCCTTGAGGTACTGTGAACTAATAGAAAAATTAATTTTACAAATTAAGAATTTTTTGACGAGCAACAATTATCCTAAGTCATATACACACGTCATCAATATCGATAGATGTCAGAATTGCAAGAGAATATCCCTTTCCTCCTACGACACTTTCATTTTGGCAATGTTTATCATCAAAATGTAGAACGTATTTATCATTTTGCATAAATGCATCGGGCGGTGTTATACGTTGAATTTTCGCAATCGAAGTCTGTGTCTGCTTTGGTCCAGTGTATGGACCGCAAGTAATCATCAATCCAACACCTGGTGCATTTTAAAAGTAGATTTAAGATTATACAGGATGGAGCATTTAAAACAGGTCACCTGAATAACTCGCTTGTTTTTAATAATAGAAGGAAAAGTGTCAAATAAAAGTTGCTTGGTTTCGAGGGGCACATAATGTGATGTCAATAATTGTTTTTTTGGTGGAGGCGCAAAGGATAGGCAAAGGTCAAATTTTTTTTTTAAATGGAATAATATATTTTTTTATTTACATTCTGATAGAGCATCTCAAGACGAATACAATGACCTATAATTGAAGGTCATTCAAGATTACGCAAGGTTAATAATGGAAAATAAATTATTTCAAAGCACTCTTCGAATAATTTTGTGTCTTTTCTCTGCTTTGTTGGTATACCACTAATCGTTCACGTATATCATGGTATGTAAATAAACATTGAATCGAACATAGCATTATCCATATTTACTGATCAGTTTGAATTTATATATCGATCGAAGTGCGCGTCTTGCGAAATGCGTTATACAAAAGCTGAAAAATCGATATGATTTTCGTCTATGGTGATCTATACTTCGCAAGTCACGCACTTCGATCGATAGATATGTAAATTTAAACTGATCAATATATTTAGATAATGCTATGTGCGATTCAATGTTTATTTACATATCGTGATATACATGAATGATTAGCGGTATATCAACAAGCAGAGAAGACACGAAATTATTCGAAGAGTGCTTTGAAACAATTTATTTTCCATTCAATTAGTTTCTATTATTAACCTTGCGTAACCTTGAATGACCTTCAATTATAGATCATCATGCATTTGTCTTAAAATGCTCTATCAGAATGTAAATAAAAAAAACATATAGCATTTAAAAAACAGATTTAACCTTTGCCTATGTTTTACGCCTCCACCTACAAAACAATTATTGACATCACAGTATGTAATCTTCGAAACAAAGTTTTGTTTAACATTTTTCCCTCTATTGTTAAAAACAAGCAAGTTATTCAGGTGACCTGTTTTAAATGCCTCACCCTGTATATATTTGATAAAAACTCTTTCAATTTGGCATTTCTTCTATTCTGAATTATTACATCGAGACATACCTGTAGTACCGTTTAATTGTACACGCAAATTACGAGCTGTACAAGCCCAACACCATGGCTGGCCATTGTAACAGGTTATTGTGTTGTCCACTGTATAATTGATTACGGAGCTGTATTGTTTTCCACCTGCTGGAAAATGGAAAAACAATGGTGTGTAAATGTTAACGCAACGCTACAACTTGCACGATGCAATGCGCGATGATGTTTATATTATTCGATGTAATAACATATTGGAATAAAAACCTGTAAATGCAATCTTGTGGTTCATGGGAATTGTATCGTCTTTCTCAAAGTTACTTAGTTGCAGATCGGTCCAATCAATTTTAGTTATTATCCCTCCGGCTTCCTGAAGATGTCCAATTTGCATGCTGCAATAAATTTTATTTTACGAATGATTAACATATTTTTCATTATTTTAAAGTTTTACTGTATATAATTAAAAAATATTTATCGTTGCTTGTATAAAATTTTCTATGTGATGTAATCGTAATTGCAATATTTCAACAAGGAGATTAAAACAATGGTAATACAATAGAATAAAATATAGATGTAAAAATATTTGACTGATTTTTTCATATAGGAAATTTTATTAAATATGTAATTCAAGGGAAGATGCTACTTTGTTTATTTTTTCATAGAACATATATTGGCCATTTTGACTGTGTAAAAATATGCAGTAGACAATGGGCAAAAAAGTGCAATTATCAAATAATTCATATTAATTGACATTGAAAAATTTAACAAAATATGAAAAGGTATGAATATGACATATCATTTTTTTTTTCAATAATACGGAATATCAAACCTTTAATTCGTTAATTTTTATGAGTAAAGAAAGGTTACTATAATATAAATAATATTTTTTGTTGGTTAATTTAATAACATTAGAATTAAAGGCTTAAATGTAGCGTCTTTTCCCGAATTACCTTACGATATTTTATCTCGATGTTGTAATATGTATTTGTTTATCTTACTGTGAAAAGCTATGTTTGGTATTGCTCACACCAAGATAATACATAGCTCCATGTTGTGTAACACCAACAACTGTGATAGTTTTATGAAATTGATAAGATTCGTGTTTGCCCCAACGTTGTTGGCATAATCCTCGTAGATATAATTTATGTGTATTTAAATCTTTGAATGTTATCTGTCCGATAATGGATCCCCATAGATCGAAACCGGTGTCATCTATCAATTGACTATCAACAGAAAATGAAGCTTAAATTTATTAATATGTTACACTGAAATGACAGAAAACATGTTAAAACATCAAATATATTAATGTTAAATTTTACATTTTGTGCTTCCAATCAAGATTTTTCCATGGTTCACGTGCTAAAGCATCCGCATGCAAATAGGTGCTCCAGTCACCTGGCCATTCTAATGATCGGGGTTTACCAATAAATCTGAAAAATAAAATGCATTTGTAAAACAGGATGTTTATTCGATCAATTACGCTTCTTAATACTTTTTAATATTTTACTTCATTTATTCTTACTCACATAAAATTTAGACGAATATGCTTTACGTTGTCATTATTGGATGTATTTCCTTGGCATTGGTTTCGGAGGAAGCCATTGTATGTAATTCTCCAACGTTGTCGTGGTTCTAAGCATTCAATCTTTAGATCAGATGCTGACCATTCTTGACTCATACTTCCTCCTACTGTAATTGTATCAGGACAATCTGTGTATTTAAAACGAATCATTAGAATATTATATTTATCGATTGTGTAGTATTTTTGTATCAAATAACCATTACCGGGTAGTACATAGACTCGGTCGTCCGACAAGGTCACTTGCAAGATCAATTCTGTTGTATGATGTCCTCTGTGATTCATTTTAATAAATAACGAATTACCTTTTTGATCAGCACCGTAGAAAAATACACTGTCACAACTCTGTGTCACACAAATGAGTTTAGAAAATCATTTTGCATACAATTAATCTATTTGCGAATATTATGTACTACTACTTACATTCTCGTCCATAATAATTTTTGGATTATCCGAGCATGGTTTTAAGATTTTCTTTATACCTGATATTATATCGCTATCTTTTAGTTTACTTCTTTCTGCTTTCTTCTCTTTCGAGATGCATTGATAGGCCCACCAACGCTTTAGGATAAACTGTATATCTACAGAAATATGTTTAAACACAAACGATTTTTAATCGATTACTATTGCATCATCTCAAAACTAACAAGGTCATATTTTTCAGGTACTATCCTGATATACAAAGAAAAATAGAGTTATATAATTTATTTATCTGGATCGTCTTACCTAAACCAAAGTAATATGAAACTTGCTTGTTCATGAACCAGAGATAAGTCCATATAGGAGAAATAATCGAACTGAAAATTTGTTTTATGCTGCACATAATGTATGCCATTATTTATCTTGTAACGTGGCATAAATATTGCAGTTTGCAATAATTTTAGCTTACGCTGTAAAAAATATATACACGTACTTATTATATCTACACGTGCGCGGGCGCGCGTACATATGATATGTATATACACGTGAATGCTACCAAAGAACGAATACTTCTCGAACTATTTCTCTCCTATTATATATATATGATATCAGTAGATATCGAAAGACTGATGCGTTATCGCGTTAGAATCGATTTAAATAATTCAAGGTATAATTATCGGACAACGCAGTATCTTCACAGTAATTTCTCGTAATAAATATAATCATACCTAGAAACTTGATGATATATAACACCTGATAAATGAATATCCGAAGAAGGAATGTGCCCGTTCTTTTTCCTGATGTGTTCAGTATTGTTATGTAATTTCCTTCTATGAATCCTTTGTTACTGGTCATTGAACGCATCGCGCCGAGAACATTATAGATAATATTATCACATCGATTATACATTGTTTGCAAGATCCGTTATCAGAGATCATTTACAAAAGAAATTGAAAAATTTTAAGTGCATTCTATAGATGGTATATAATAAGAGAAATTTATAAAATATACTTTCTGTAATAATTGTGTGCGTATATTGATTAAATTTTTACATTATGGATATAAATGTTTGTCAGCATGTAATAATACTTCACATGATATTATGAAAGTTTTAAGTATTCTAGATAATGAAGACAAACAATAACAGTAAACAATAGAAATTGTTAATTTGTTTTTTTGTTCACATTGTTGCCGAAACTAACAGCTTCTTCTGTGATTGTATCAGTATCCACACGTGATTTATCTACTGGATATAACCTGTGGATAAATATATTTTTTTTTACGTTATAAAATAAAGATCGATACATACGTGGCAATCCTGACGAATGCTGCTTCTAAAATGAATCTTATGCATAGCATAAGACCACCGAGACCACTGAACAAGTAGCAGGTAGGGGATGGGGTGACAAATTTTTCGGTAGATACTTTCAAGAATGGATGACATAGCAGTTTTCGTGTTTCACAATGGTCAGGTAAAAGAAATGAAAAGTGAAAAGGGACGGATGTACATATTTTTGATGAATGCTTATCCATAGATACAATTCCGTTAGAAAAACCGTTTGAGAGTTGTCCAGTTTGGTAAATCTATTCACAAGTTTTAAATGTAGGTATATATAGAGTGTCTTATAAAGTCTCACCCAGGTCTTATATCTCGGAAATGGCTTTAGATATGGAAAAATGTTTCAGACAAAAGTTGTAAGAAATTAAGAGGGATATATGATGAAAAAAATGAACTTAATCTTCAGTGACCTTCTGAAAGCTAGGTCAATGTAACCAATGTTTTCTTAAATGAAATCTCATTTTTTATTGCATATTTTTGTAGTTTACCTCGAGAGCTTTTCAAAATACTGTATAATAAACTCTTTTTTTATTAAGTACTTTTCAAATTATCAAGGCTTGAAAATTACAGTACAATTAGCATTAACATTACTCAAGCTGTCCAACCGATGACAACTAAAACCTCTTAAATGTTGTTCAAGATTAAATACCTGAAAAATGTTTGACAAGATCAAAGTCATTAGAGATCGTGTATCTCTTATTTTCATTTTTGCACTGAAAATTCATTTTTACAGAAAAAAGAAGATAAGTGATACAATCTCTAATGACCTTGATCTTGACAAATGTTTACTTTTATAATTGGAAAAATAATTAATGAAAAAATATTTTATTATATATAATGTTTTGAAAAATTCTTGAGGTAAGTTACAAGAATATGCAATAAAAAATGAGGGATTTCATTTAAGAAAACATTGGTTACATTGACTTACAATTAGCTTTAAGATCACTCAAGATCAAATCTATATTTTCATCATGCCTCCTTTAATTTCTTACAACTTTTGTCTGAAACATTTTTCCATATCTAAAGCCGTTTCCGAGATACAGAATCTGGGTGAGATTTTATAGATATCCTGTATTTACAATTGTGAACGTGAATTTATAAAAATTAAATTTAATTATTTCCGAAGGGAAACTGTACTTTATATTGTTCAACATAAGATTGGGTTGCTGTGTGGCTCCATATGAGAGCGATGGACTCGTAATCGACAGGTTCGTAATCGCGAGTTCAAATCCCGCATCCCATATTTACGAAAAATTTCGTAATTTTTACTGACTTCTAGCGGTAAAATAAAACTCGCCAACATGCAATAGCAAGCGTGGCGTTTCAATGCCAAAACCTTGCAAATCAACATAAAAATCAGCGTGCCTCAAGGATTCCGGGGAAGGAAAAGTTTCTAAGAAGAAAGGCCAAACAAGAACATCCTAATAGCAACCTATAAATATCCGCACAATGAGTCCGGAAGAACACCTACAGAGTCTGAAAAACGAACTCAGAAATATGAAGAGAAATGAAGAAGTTTATGTCCAGAAGAGTGGATAAAAATAGATTTAAAAAAAATTTAATTAGATTTCGCTCGTTTTTTTTTGCAATACGAAGTATTTAAAAAAACGGTCTAAATCGAGCGATAATAAAACTTTTATAAAATAAATTTCTAGTTTACAATGTTAATACAACATAAAAATATAAAATATAAAATAATATAAAATTAATATCGAACATTTCGGAACTCACGGGTCCTTTTTTAACGATTCATATCAATGTTTCTTAGAACATAAGATTATGCTTTCATCTTTATGACATTGTAACATCGATAAGAATCGCTGAAGAAGGATCCGTAAGTTCCGAAACGTTCAATAATAATTTTATATAACAAATTCGACAGTTAAACCAATTTAGTCACAAATTTAGTCGCCAATGTAGTTACAAAAAAAGTTTTTTGTAACATCTGTTTTACTAAATATTGGTTTGTTGCCCTTTAACTGTCGAATTTGTTTAATACTTATAGAGCCTTATTAAATTGTTTGTTTTAATTGTTTATTTTAATTTTATATTTATTATATATTTTATATTTTTTATTTTTATGTTATATTAACATTGTAAACTAGAAATTTATTTTATAAAGAACTTAATAATTGTTAACTTAATAATAATTGTTTCCGAAGCAGATCAGTTCGGTCGAAAAGGACATACGCGTGAATCGATGATACTTTAAAATATTTTCTCCATTCCAATACTATATGTATACTCTATATCGTTCAATATAAGTCGCAACGATCAGTGGTACTCGGTGTAAATTTTGAGTTGAACGAAAAAAAACTCTTACCATCTTTGATATAGATAAATCAGAAAGACGGCATCATCTCTGAAACATGCTAATTTGTAAGCTGTCGGCATCGTTAGCAAGAAAGCAAACACGTCATCGATGAATGTGTTAAATGCTTTGTACATGAACGCTTTCCATGGTAGATGCGCCACTGACTTCAATTTATAATTGACGAATAATTGCGGCAACATAAAAAGAAATCCAAATACGTAAACTCCATTTACTAAGGAATTTAAGCTCCAAGAATACCAACTGTAACTCAAAACAATTTAATTAACGATTCATCCAGGGCACAAAAAGTACTTCGTACACAAATTTTTATCGTTTCAGATAAAAGCGGTCATTTACCTTTTATGTGGCTGATAAAGTAATGAGTAGATTGCACCAACGATAACTAATGGATATAATAAATAATTCAGATAACGCATACTTTCTGCATCGAATTGTCTAGTTTTTACTTCCGCTGCATCGATGCTATCGGTTTTAAAACGCATTCGTGGGAAAATGTTACCGCTGGTAATAAATTCCACTCTCAATATCTTTTTCAATTTCCACAGCTATTAAACATATACACACGTGTATACACGCACGCACGCACGCACAGATCTCTAGATAAATGCTATTTGAAATATTCCTGCTGAATCGTACGAGAAAAAGGCGTAAATACACTTTCTTTGTTATTTCTTTTGTACAATTTGATATTATAAAAAAATTTTATTTTCTGACCTTTTTTTTTAATTATATCATAGTTATTTTGAATGCTTTTTAAAAATAGAACATTAATTTAGTACCACAGAAAACATGGAAAAAAATAAATCATTAGTTTTTTCGAAATCCTACTCTTGAAACAATTTAAAAAGTCACATGAACGGCACAAAATTTAGCATATTCTCACATAAAATAACTCATAAACTATTAATTTTTTCGTAACTGTACATACCTTAATACTTTTATGCAGAGAATAAAGACTGGTTTAAAGAAAATACATAGTTGCTTTTTAGAGCGACATTTGATTTGTGCGCGAGACGGTGAGGTGAAGGGGACAGCGGAAGGCGGAGTTTATACATATCTCCGAACAATATTATACGAAAATCGGTCGAAAATTACATCTGCGCGCGAGCGGTGAGGTGAAGAGGAACAGCGAAAGGTGGAGGTTACTCGAAAATCGGCCGAAAGTTACATACACTTTATATATGTTCACTTTGAACTGGCACATATAATTAATAATATATCAATTACTTTTCGCGCGTGGTAATATATTATTATTAGATAAAATGGTTTAAATTTTTGAGTATCTTTTTTTGAACACTTTTCATTTTTATGATATGATTTTTTTCGGATATCACTTACTTTTCAGAGTACAAATATATCACAAATATATATAAAAAAATAACGAAAAAGAGCGAAATACGGCGAAAGAGAGGAGTGGTGGAGGTGGGGAGAGGGGGTGAAGGTCCGGTGGGTCAAAGATGGTGAAGGTGTAAGTGAAAGGTAAAAGAGGATGTTAAAAAGTTGTAATAACGAAAGAGAATGAAATACGGCGAAAGAGAGGGGTGGTGGGGGAGGGGGAGGAGGTCCGGTGGGCCGAAGATGGAGGTGCGAGTGAAATGAGAGAGAATGTTAAAAAGTTGTAATAACGAAAAAGTGTGAAATGCGGTGAAAGAGGGGGTGGTGGGGGGAGGGATAAGGGCGGGTGGAGGAGGTCCGGTGGACCAAAGATGGTGGAGATGCGAGTGAGAGGTGAGAGAGGATGTTAAAAAGTTGTAATAACGAAAAAG